TCTAGATTTCTGAAAAAGTGCGAACGTAATATGTGAACAACGCCTAACACTAAAAATTACAATAACAATCATTATCCTCTATAATATATACGTTAAACTAAATTAATTTAGTAAAATATTATTTACCAACTAGTGCAATCTTGACGGTGTAAGGTTTAGCGTCGGGTCTGTACCATCCTATATAAGTGACAGCGCTGTCCGTTTCATCAATAATTTCACCCAGCTTAAACGACTCCAGCTTATTGCATTCCGATGCAACTTTATCATCCGACGTTATCGCCATGATGATTATTTATTTTAATTTATAATTTACAATTAAAATTTACCTTGCACCGTACACTTAATTGATATCAATTAATTTATAATATTAAAATAAATTATTAATTAATTTTAATAATTATTGATTAGGCGTACTGGTCAAAAAGTTGAATCTAGTAATTGATTATAATGCACACCTCACACAGGTAAACTTGTAGACTCATTTTTTTTTAATTAACTTGTTACAATTATATATTTTTACCAATGCAGAAATTTGGCCACTATATAAATTAACATTAATTTAATTATGAACAAAGAGTTAAATGACTAGACTCGTCTACATAAATTTATATATATACACTTATTTAGCATGACATAACGTTATCCGCGTAAATAATTTTATCCAATCAGAAATTAGTTTGTATTATTGCAAAACATTTACCCACAGTCTTTGTGAATTTATTGTTTCTATGTCGTTTAAGCGATAAAACCCGATTTTTATGTCCATAGGTTATGATAATATAAGCAAGGTATTTGGGCTATACAACATACATGTATAATTCCATATAAAAATAAAATTATTAGATAGTGCATTTATATAACTGTGTTATAAACTACCTTTATAATTATTTAGACATACCTAAATCATTGCCATAGAAATGGTATATTATATTAAATGCAAAATTGCATTTACAGTTATGTAAATAAGATAAGTTAGTAAGTGTTATGATCAGTGATCACGGATGTAATGATATGTTTTATTAGTTTATTTTATATGAGCTTGTAAATATTGATGCATATTTTTGTAATGGTTACCTATGTTTAATAAACATTTTAAAAACATGATTTTATGATTTAGTGAAATTTATAGACACGTGAGCATGTTAAAAATTCCATAGATATAACTTTCAAAAATAAATTCTCAAAAAGGTAGTATTGCAATTCATGTAGATAATTAGCCAATAAAATTATAACTAGGGTAGTTTAATGTATAGTTAGTTATAAATTCTATTGTACTCCAAAAATATTGTATGCAATTTAAGGGCACATAAACAAATATTTGAATAAAACCTTATTTAAATTATAAATTAAAATTTTTAATAGTTTTCAATTACAACCAATGACTATATAATACCAGTTGAAATATATATTATAAATTTTATTAATAATGTAATTCTATCTTTTTATACTATATTAAATAAAACCTTAAATATTTGAATATTAACTGACAATTTATAATTTCTAAAACTTTTTAAAATATCAATTAAGAATATAACAAAAATGACGGTAGAATTATATTAAATAATTAAAATATTTAATAAAAAATGTTCAAATGTCTATGTTTAAATAAATTTAAATATTTAAACATTAAACGTTTATCACTACTGACAAAAACCATTTTATCCAAAACATTATAAACATGTACTTGCTATTTATTTATTTATATAATATTTGGTGAAATAAAGTGTTTTTATTAATAAACAATAAATGTTTTTCATTAGAAAATTATGTTTTTATCATCACATAAAATTATATATCCTACACAAATAAATGCCAGAATATTAGTTATATAATTAATTAATATTATGAATAAGTACGGATTTTTGCTTTTATTATAAATAAGATTACAATTAAATTAATTTAAAATTAAGTTTAGTAAATATAATTTAAAACAAATATTACACAGAAATATTTTATTTATATATAAATCATTAATGCATTATAAAATGAAAGCATATTTTATAATAATTTAGCCTTCGTCACTTTGTCTATTAACTTAATTTTTAGATATGATAAACAGATTTCCTAAAAACCAGGGTTAACGTGATGTTCACATGCACATTCAAATAAAATACATTTGGTATGCATGCACGTACGTTTACACAATTAAAAACTTGGTACATAATATCTGATTAATAACAAATGCCCTTTTTGACATTTACAACAATTAACTATATTTGTGATCAACAACTAAAAGTATCACGTAGACATAAAAATATATTTACACTTGTTCAAATAAAGTATACCAATTAGACCATAATGAGCTAATTAAGGTATATACTAAAGGGTCCGGGCCCGGAAAACATTTTTTCTATGTACGGCAATACCAATATTTAGACGGTCAATCGGTCGACCCAAATGCCGATCAAAGTGGGCCCGGATGACACGGGCCCATCACTTTTCCGTTATTTTTTACATTTTCACGGAAAATTTTTTATCAAATAATTTAGTTAAAACTTAATTTATTTAATGAAAAATTAATTTAATTGAATTAAGGGAGGTGTAATTTACAGTAAAACCAATTAAAAAATTTTCCGTAAAAATGTAAAAAATGACGGAACAATGGTGGGCCCGTGTCATCCGGGCCCACTTTGCTCGGCATTTGGGTCGACCGATCGACCGTCCAAATATTAATATTGCCGTACATAGAAAAAATGTTTTCCGGGCCCGGACCCTTTAGTACTTGCCGCTAATTAATTTAAATAATTGGTAATTATTATTGATTTAGATTCTGGGTTGTTTCCAGTTTTTAATTTGTAAATCATGGTAATAAAATTTATCATTTTTATCTATGTTTTGTAAAATATATAATATAATGTAGTTCTTTTATAGCCTAATTAAACATTTATACAATAAATAAATTAAATTAATATTTTATAACTTCCATGCTATTAAGGAGTAGTTAAAAATAAAATTAATAATTTGTATTTGTACAATAACTATATCTAATTTTATACATGGTTAAGGCCAAAGTTAATATTTATTAATAGCAATTACAAAATTGGAATTAAAATAATTCACTTTAATTAAATAGTATTAATACAATTAAAACTAAGTAATACAATTAATCAAAAAATTATATTTTGACGCAAATCTAAAGAATATAATTAAATCATTTTAACCAAAATATTTACTAATAATTGGCATTAAATATTATGACTATTATATTGCTATTATGCTATTTAACTCAAATCACTACATGTAATAAACTGTAATATAGTTCAATAATTGTTATATAAATAAACTATTTTTAGAATCGTTAGAAATTTGGTCGTGGTATTCCACATCAAACAAAATTTTATAATTCACAAATTAACTTCTTAATTTTTAATTAAATGTTACAGTCAAATTTGTAATAAATTTAGATCGTTTTATAAATTTTTATTTTTATAATTCATAGTATTTAAATAAAGTTACAATCAAAATTAATTTAGAAGGTAAGTTCAATTCAGAAAGAAAATTTAGATTTATTAATTTTATAAATCCACCAATACTATTTATAATTATAACATAACGTGATTATAACTGTTTAATTAATATGAATAGCTAAAATATAACATTTATTTAATCCTGAATATCTAAATGATTTTTTAAAAGATTATAAAATAATTGATTTTTGCATTTATGTAAACTATCGAGTGTTTTATTAAAACCAGTTTCGGCCATAAGTTTATCACTGTCAATGATAATTTTATCTAACTGCTCTAATATATTCGAGCATGATGGTCGTGTCCACCATTTGGGGCTACTCTGCATACGTTTTAACAGCTGAACAATCATTTTGAATGAATCCGTGTCACGCGAATTGGTCTCCATTATATCTTGATCACTATTTTAAACAACACAAAATATCACAATTAATTAATAAAATTAATAAATAAACTTATAATTATAAATTATAATACTGTAGAATAACAAAAGCATTATTATAATTTATAAGATTATAATTTATAATGATGCTTTTGTTATTCTACAGTATTAATAAAACCTAATTAAAAATGCTTACCACGTTGAATTAACCTCAAACCACTCATCACCGATAATACCCAGACTATAAACGTCGGCATTTTGACCATATTTACGGCCTTTAATCACTTCTAGCGCTGTATATTTGGATAACAGGCCATCAAAAGTATGATCAACAACGGGCTTAACGCCTAGTTTATCAAACTTTTCATAACCAAAGTCGGCTATCTTAATAAAACTACCATCGGCGCAACTTTCAGTGACAAAAATGTTGGTCGTTTTGAGGTTACGATGTACTACAGGGGTCTGTAAACTGTGTAAATAGTCCACTCCCTCCAGGAGTTGGGCAAACAGATCGCACGTGATATACATCTCAACGGTAGACATGGATTGGCCAAAACGGCGCCCAAAAGCGTGCGGTTTGTCAATCATAATGTCTAACATGGTTTTCTCGTAGTATTGCATCTCGATGTAAAGGTATTTGCTTTTTTCTATCCAGTAGTTTTCTACGGGTGCTAGGTAGATGTTGCGCGTGTTTTTGATCTGGTTCAACGCGGTTTCTAGTTGATCACGTTTGTCCGCGCTTAGACCTAAATAATAGTGGCAATAAATAAGGTAGGTTAGATAAACTGGTCGCTAGTTAATGTGTTATAAACTGTAGTTAACAAGCTAATAATAACAAAAATAATAAATGATATATTGTATAGTACAATGTTGGTTAAGTCAATTTCGTTCCATTTATTATAAACTGTAATTCTCTGACACATACTATCAATTATATTGTTTAATGTATTTTATTATACGATATTGGACTATGCTCTCGTAATGTTTTTTGCAGTTACCTAATCACTTAACCCTTTTCAAATATAAGTTTAGTAAATTTTTACTACCGCTACCAACTGTAATTATCTAGCTAATACTAACAATCATATTATCTGATTTATTTTAGATCTTAATTTATCTGACTATAATGGTCGAAATGTGTACGCATATTACCTGGGCATTTAAACCTTTTCACGGTATACTCATAGCCGGTCTGTCTATTGCGGCACTTAAACACCGGACCAAAAGTGCCTGTACCCAGCGATTTGATCATATCATACGCCTTTAAATGAATCGCCCTAGATGTCACCCCATACTCGTGAGCTAGGTAATTTCTATAGGACACCTTGCCCAATTCCTCCAGCTCCACCTCGTTGGGCTTAATCTCGTGAACACAATCGTCAAATCGGGCCAATACCATACCGGTGCTGGTGACCGGTTCGAGCTCTACGTACTTGGCATTGCCGGGCACCGGGAAGCTGGCCTGGGATTTGCTTAAATGGTGCTGACACACCAGTTCACCGTAGACATTTAATTCACCATAATTAGTAAATACATAGCTGTTATTGCCCGCGCACACCACCGTCCGGACATTGCTCATCAATATACTGTTGGGCCCGTATTCACCCCTACACCCATAGTGACCGAGTTGGCCGTAGTTATTACGGCCCCAGTAATAAACTGAGGCACCTGTGGTCAGCGCCATCGTATGGTCGGCACCGGCCGACACCGATTTGATCCGGATATGTAAGGGTACGCGCGTTGGCTGCGATATATGCGGGTCGTTCACGTCGACCCCGACCTGACCCCACTCGTTGCCGCCCCAGCCGTACAGCTGGCCGTCAACTGTGACGGCTAGCGTGTGGTCGCGGCCGCAGCTCAACTCCTGTACGCCGAGCTCAGTAAGCGTATCGTTAATACAGGGCTTTTGGTATTGACTTTCGTGACCTAAGCCGAGTTGGCCCTTACGGTTGTCGCCCCAGACTAACACCCGGTGCTGTTTAGTCATAGCCATCATAAATCCCTGTCCGGTGTAGAAGTTTGTGATTGATTTGCCCGACAGGCTGTGTATGATTAAGGGCTCCTCAATTGGAGCCCCTGTGGGCTCGAGTCCTAGTATGCCATCGGTGTTGGCGCCCAACCCGTAGGCCGTGTCGTCATTTGTGATGTATATTAAGTTTTTGTTACCGTTTTTGTCGTCAAATAAATGAAATAGTCTAATAACTGACAGCATATGGACGGGAAGTAAAGGTACATTATCTGCAAAATAAAGCAAGTAGTGTATTAATATTGAGCTTGATAAATAAATTTTAATTAAAAATCTAATTTATAACCAAAGTAGAAATATAGTTTATAAAATTAAACTTATAATTTGAACATGGTAATATGTTTTAACTGTTTTTATATGATTATACAAACACTACTGTAGTATCAAAGTAGCTTAATTAATTAATTTATAAACTGTAACAAAGTACAATAATGTATTATTGATAACTTACCATATAGACTTTTATCAATATTTGGTTGAAGTTCACCCTCCGGATTACTATTTTTACCATGATTATGATCATCCGGACAAATCAAAATTGATTTATTTGTCACATTATATTTTTGCAAAAAATATTTATCAAAATTGGCATAAATAGTGTCACTAAAAGTGTACTGATTTTTCATTAGCCGATACAGACAACCGTCGGTTTTTGCGAAACACCAATTGTTTGGCTTCACAGTGAATATATCTGTAAATTTACTGTCAGTGTCCAATGTGGTCAATGTGGGCACGCTATCTGTCCGGCCATCTACATAACGCTGACCGCAATAATAAATATGACCTTGCTGGGTCAGATAATAGGTGCTGTTTTTGTTGCATATCATTTTGACTACGTTATAATCCATAGTATCTATTGCTCCAGGTTTGGTATAATCTGTGTAGTTGCCAGTGCCCAATTGGCCATGCTCATTTGCGCCCCATACATACACTAGGTTGTTTTTGGTTAACGCCACCGAGTGATGCTCGCCAGTGGCTATTGTTTTTACAATGTGGTCCCTATATTATAACCAAAATATATTTTTTTAATGTAAGTACATATTGGTCATGTAAGCAATTAGTATTATTCTAGAATATTGCTATTTCATTAAGCGCAATCTAACTTGTAAGTAAATATGATTGCTAAAATGCTATATTTTTTTTATCTTATTGCAACATAATTGTCACATCATTTAGCAATAATATAAAATAACCGATGAATCATGATCATTATTAATAGCCAATTGTTAATAAATACTAAATATAGCGTAGTTTGAATGTTAATAAAATTAAAATTTACTTGTCACCCATGGTAATCTTAGTCGGTATATGTACAATATTGCCAGCCACGCCGGTTCCCACTTGGCCCCTACCATTATCGCCCCAACCATACACCTGGCCACTCTCCGACAGGGCGAGCACATGCTTATAACCGCAGCACAAATACACCACACCCTCGGCGCTCAGGTACTCATTACGTGTGGGGCTGTAGTAATCGCCGGCCAGACCTACGAGTCCCAGACCGAGTTGGCCGCACTCGTTGGCGCCCCAACAGTAGTACGCGTTTTGTATGGTACGGGCAAACATAAAATCGCAACCACGGTAAAACTCTATGACACCCAGGTGACTTAGTTGGGGTACGTGCTGCGGCTCCTCCACTTCACGATTGTGGCCTAACCCGAGGCACCCGCAGTGGTTGGACCCAAATGCGTAACACTGATCGTCCCTGGTCAAGTAAATGTAGTTTTTACCGAGGTAATCGTCGAACACGTAAAATAGTTTAAGCTCGTGGCCCAGGTTTGTGGTCAGGCTTTTGAGCTGGCCGAATTTGTCCATTATATTGATCATCATCTAGAACACAGAATATTATTTTTATTTAAATATGGTAAAACATTTTTGCAGTTAATTGCATTGTTTTGACAACTAGTTAAATGTATAGTTTGATACTAGTTTAAAAACTCCGCTTTTATATTATTTCAAATTAATGGTACATGTAAAGTAGTTTCACTTACTTTGATATTAAGGATATAATTGTATAATTTATAGCCCAGTGCTCAAAATTAAATAATATTGTTGAAATATTATAATAATATGGTAATAAATTGTGGTTTTATATGATAATTAATGTGGACTTTTTTGATTATTATCAAACTAATAGATGAATGATATATTTTATTGGTTAACACAGAGTAAACAAAGCTTAAATTTGTTGCTGGATTTATAACTGGATAAAACTGGGATGTACCCCTAGATTAACAAATATTGATTATTGTGAAATGAATAATTGAAATGCTAATTTTTTAATATAAAGTCCACATACTCAATATTTATTTAAACTAACAATATTTACCGATATATTTGAACTATGGTTTTTAGAGAGAGACAGAAAATTTATAACAAAATAAATATTGCATATAAAAGTGATAATAATCACTGATAATAACCATAGCAAAATTATAGCCATATTAAACCTATTACACAATCATTTAGGCATATAGTTATACTATCATCACGTTTTATTGTGATTTAATCAATAAACTGTAAAATAACTTCAAAAATATAATATTTGCTAGTAAATTGTACTTGTTTGTCTCAGAGGTAAGTGTGTTTTTGAATAATATCACGTAGACCATTAAATATTCATGTAATATCAAAAGAGATTACAATATAAAATATATATTACAGTAGTTATGAAATAATTTCAGATATAAACTTCTAAGTAATCCGGGTAATAAATAGCCTAAAATTCCACTTAATTCATTATGGTGAAATGCATTTTTAATTATAATCCATAAAAATATTCTGTGTAAAATAATTTTTCATTATAAACATAAATATAAACATTATTTACATTATTCTCGGAAATGCATTTATTAAGTAAACTCGTTGTTAGTATTTATGTCAATAAAATATTGATATAAACGCAATGAAAATATAAATATTAGATATAAATAATGTTTTGCAAAGATTTCATTGAAAAATCAGTTATCATTCAATATAAATATAGGAAGCGTTATGAAATAATATGTAATTTTTATTTATATAATATTTAATTTTGTGGCATCAATAATATTGATACTTTAGCAAAATGCATGACAATTGATTAAAAAAATGTACGAGATAATAATATTGTTTTGTACATTTTGCAAAAGTGATATTTATCAGAATTAGGAAATACCTTGTTGTTTGACCTAAATTATTATATGATTAAATCATTCAATCATAATAAAAAATATTTTATAACAATATATTTTTAGTTAAGTAAGAATATATTAACTACATTATTTGCTTATAATTTTGGAAAAATATTTATTAAATTTATTATTTGCAAATAATAATTTGTGCAAAATTGGCATTATTAATTTACTCACTCGTCAGTTAGTAGCTTGTACAGTATTATACACTTAAACAATTATGATATATTTTATTGGAAAATTATTAAATAATTAATATTTGCAAAATTGTATTATACCAAACATTGACAATTGCATATTGTAAATTATTAATCATGTGGAGAGAGAGAGAGAGAAAG